TAATAATAGAATAAGTATTTAACAACGTTACATTTTTAACGCAGTTATTAAGTAACAAAAACAAAAGTAAAGCACAGTTCAATCTACACAAATATATTTAATTAATCTAAAACAGTCTGCGAATTTTAGGCAAAAGGTAATAAATTAAGAAATGGATTACATATATAGCTCACTTTTTTCAAGGCTGGCCAAACCTTGTCTTATTTTTACAAACTGAATAGTGTTAGAACTAGGATTTTAAAATTATATAGTATAACATAAAAACATTCAGTTAAATTTGTGGTTATTCATCATTTTCATCTTGTTCCTTTTCTTCGGTGCGCCTGCTTCGTTTGTTGATCTTAAAATACTTTTTCTTTTGGCGTTGGAACGCTGCTCGTAAAGTCTTGTCAGGTAATTTATTAAATGTTGATATAACTTCTGTTTTATAAACTATATTTTAGCATTACTTATTTGAAACAAAAACAAACACGTTTTACCTATTATGGCGGCAAGTACATTACCAAAATCTCGTAGACCTTTTTTCCCGAAAGTTCCGTCAACATTAAAATCCATAATAATATTTCTTCCAAATACTTTATGCAAATTACGTTCAGCGTTACCTGCAATGAGATTTTTCATTTGTCGAGTCTGCAATTGTAAAAATTGTTTTAGTTATGAATTTGTTATTCCCAAAACGCAGATACGTACATATAGATCTGCTTGTGTTGCGAGAATTCGATCAAATTCTCGAAGTTTTTCTTCCGATTCAATTGGAAAAATTGTCATAATATTGTCCACAAATGCGTTCTGAGAAATAACACGATCCAGTAAAACTTTATGCTCCGCCAAAATATCAATAATCGTGTCTAGTTTTTCTGGCATTTTCTTGGCAGGAAGAACATTTTGCATTAGCTATCAAAAATATGAACTCAATTTTGTTATACTGTTAAAAATTTAGTGATAATCTTTGGAGATTACCTTGTGGAGCAAAATATTTCATTTTTCCTTTGGAGGGGTTGGCATTTTCGTTCGACATGTTTATGTGCGGAGTTGTGTACTTAGGAGGTAAAAATTTGTGCTTGATATTTCTCTGGAAAGCAGGAATGTAAAATGGGCACGATTACAAAATCAGAATCAATTGGCAAGCATACAAATTTGAACTGAATGTCTTTAATACAAAATGTCTCTTTTTCCCCTAGAGTCAGATTCGTTTTGAAAATACCAATCTCACAAGAATTCACCGGTTCTTCGTAGAAACTTTCTAATGCCAAAATTCGACTGCCTTCAATATATATTTCGCCCTTTTTCTTTATATTATCAATTTTTATTGGAATGCATGAATTCACCGCGCAAATATTATCTGGTTCTTTGCAGGATATGTAGCAATCATTTACAAAAGCTCCAACGATAACACCTTTTTCATATTTTAACCCATCCTGAATAGTGTTGACAATCATGCAATTTTTTTCCTTTTGAATAATTTGTTGAAAGATATGTGATGGTTTTCGAACATGTTTTTTCAGTGTTTGCAGTTTATTTTCAAATGCATATGCAGAAAACGAAATAAGGGGACCATACTTTTCTGCGCAAGAAGCCAAATGAAGCAGATTATGAACGTTAAAAGAAATGCTGTTCGAACCAAATACAGTTGAGAAGTTCTCGACAAATAATTGAAGCAAATTATTAGCTTGAACAATATTTTGATCCATATGTCGTGCATTGTTAAGAAGTCGATAAGCACAATGTAAAGTTAAAAATTCATAATAAATATCTTCGTGTACATTATTATAAAGAGCAATAATTCCTGTATAAGCAAGGAACTGGTGAAATTCTTGGTGACTCCGAGGTCAATGAGATGCATGCTATCTAAAGGAGTCTGATTTATCATACCAAATCCAATTTCTTCGAGAGGAGTTTTTTCTTCTTTGAACATTTGGGAATGGTGGCATGGATACTTTCGCACAGCAAAGTCCTCATCGGAGATTAGGGAACCACTCTCGCTACTATAAGTCAAGACATTGTTTACCTTCTTCGCAATTTGAGTACACTTGGTGCAGCCATGTGTTGATGTATGTCCAGGAACTCCACAAACGAAAGCTTTTGCTGGTGCGTCACATATTAAGCAACGAAACTTCAATTTTAAATGTTTTTGTTGTATGATAAACTGACCTTTTAGTAGAATCACTTCATCAATGAAGTCTTTCAAATACACATTCACACTACCCGGCTTGGTGTTTCCCAAGTATAATCCAACAACAAACGGTTTTGTTTTCTCCTGAATATTAACGATTCTGCAAAGGATTGGCCACAATTGCACACGAGAGCTTTTGAACAGTGGAATTCCATCGATATTTATATCTAGTTCGACTTCCTCATACTTTTCCAAAATGTGACCAACTTTTCGTAGTTGTGTTTCTATGCCAATATGACAATAAATTCCAGGGGCAACATTTCTCGTTAACATATTTTTTGCTCTGCCCACCAAAGTCTCTCTAGTGAGCGGAACATCTAGACCTTCTTCCTTTAATATTGATAAAAGACTTTCCAAACATTTCTTTGAAGGATTCGTTTCCATGCACCACTTTTTAAGTTTGTCCCGCAACATTAATTTCGGAACTGCAAAATCTTCCATTCCATTTTCCACGAAATCATTTATAAAATCTCCACCGTTTGACACAAATTCACTTTCACTATTTTCTTGTTCACATTGCAAACTTCTGTTTTTATACAATATTTTTTGTTTTTTAATTAATCTTTTATAATTTCTTTTACTCATTTTGTTTATATATTTAATAAATAATCACCTTTTTAACAATAAAACACACAAAACAAATTAATTGCCGATAAAAACGCGTTGTTTCGATGCGATCTACAAAAAAATTACATAAAAATGTGTATATATTCAATATGTTTTAATGACAATAAAAGAAAAGCCAACTGTCGACATTGTCAGTAGAAATACACTACAATCAGTGTCCCAAACCAAACTCTACTCGTAAATTGTTGAAATTTGAACTAGTACAATTGTCTGTAGAAATAAAGTGGTAATATAAGATACACATGGATCTTTGCTCGCAGCAGGGTATTTATACCCTACACAACTATGTTGTCAGGGTATTATAGCTTTGTGCAGCCCCAAATGTTTGTAACGCCGCGAAATATTGGTCCTAGACCCACCTTTAAGTATATCTCGACTAGCTGAGTCGATCTAGACATGTGTGTCCGTCTGTCCATTATAATTTGTAAACACGATACAGGCCACAGTTATGGACCAATCTTCACGAAATTTTGCATGTAGGATGGGTTCTGGCCAATGAAGACCCCTATTGTTTTTGGAAAAGATCGGTTAATATTTAGGGGATGAAATGGACCAAATACTAAATTTTTGTCGGTTTTTCTGGTCGCTCCAGAGGCCACAATTATGGCCCAAACACCGCGAATTTTTGCATGGAGAAGGGGATCGGGCCAGAGAATAAGCATGCATGTTTTGATAAAGATCGGTCAATATTTAGCGGGTCAAATGGACCCTGACTTTTGTGTGAAAAATGACAAAATTTGTATTCTATGGCATATATATTTACTCCTGGAGGATGTAGACCCCAGGAGTTGATAGCACATCCAAGAGGAGTGGTTGGTCTTTAAATTGATACCAAATATGGTGATGTATCTACTCAGATGTGGGAGTTACAGTCAAATATTTACAGGTGCTTACGTATTCAGATATTATTCAGTAACCCATTACCACATTAGAGGGAGAAATATCGCGCTGATGGCTTTGAAATTTTTCATGAAGTTCCAGTTATGGTCAAGAACAACGCCTATAATTTTCGGTGATGATCAGATTAAAATTTTGGGATGAAATAGACCGAAAACATAATTTTTTGTGTGTTTTCGAGTAGAGTATAATCCGAAAATCACAACACAACCCACCGTGAAGGTAATCTGGACAAGTAATTAGAAGGACTGTACTGAATATTCGAAAAAAGTAAGGAAGAGGTGTTGTTAACCTCTAATCGGACAAGAGAGGGCAAATATCACGAAATATTACTCAGACTCGGAATAAACTTCCTCAGAAAGTTAGAGTTCGTGGTAGTTGTGTAGGGTATCGCATGGTCGGCCCCGCCCGACTATACTGCTCCGCTCACTGTTTTTTTTTTAATTTTTAGTAAAAAGTACTAAATAGAAAATGTTAGAGAAGATATCCGAATTTTAGTATTACTCTTTGACTATTGTAAATAAAATGTTTAATGGAAATATATACGGTTATATGAAATATAGTTTCGAATCCCACATGAATCTATACTACAGCGAATGATTATGTGAATTTTGGTTAAAATTTCTAGTGTAGTGAAAAACAGGCGAGACTTCAAATACAAATAAGTGAAACTATGCAATAAGCCGCTGAACATCACAAGTACTAAAGTGTAGTCAATTTTAAATGCTAAAGTTCCAAATTTTCTAAAATAACAATACTGATATTTCCAACCACATTGGATCGATCTTTTGATGTAATGAATAATGGGCTGGATCATTATTATGAGGATATACTAAAAATACCGACAATACCATTGAGTATTTTGTAATACGTAACGCACCAGAAATACTAAATTTCTGCAATTTTAATGGAAATCTTCACTATAAAGGCAGGTCTCTGAATAAAAAATGATGCGCTGTGCAAAATTGTAATTTGTACTATAAGGGTACTACTATCAGTACTAAAACGAACTAGATATTTTACCATTAGTATTAAATTACCGGAAGGAACAAAAAAGGTTAACACAGTATTATAGAACTTTTGACATCAGTCCATCGGGACGATCGAGAAAATAGTAAACTTACAGAACTTGTACTCGATTTAGTAGGATAGAAGCATTAACGTTTCTGTACGAAAGAAATACGGAGTAAGCTCTGAGATTAAAACAAACATATTAAGATATAAAACCTATAATAAAAATGTTTCAAATTTGTACTTAATCCAAAAGTATATTGCGTAGCTAAAATAATGTTTATTTATTTAACTATAAAAAGTTTCGCTAACAACGTAGCGGGCCTATGCTAGTAAAAGAGTAAAGTGATTGACTGACTGATTGATTTAACGATTCATCAACGCCCAGACTAAACGGCTGAAGCTAGAATCATGAAATTTTGGGTGAGGGTCACTCTTGGTCCAAATGTGACAGATAAGGCTGGGTTTTTGGAAATTCGTACTAGAACGGTACAAAAAGTACTAAAAAGTACTAAATGTGATACCATTTGTATTTGGCGAGCATGTAGAGCTAGAATTCTGAAATTTGGTTTGGTGGACGTTGATGGAGTGTATGATAGGTGTAGCAAAGGGTTTTTTGAAATTCGAACTATAACTATCCGAAAAGTACGAAAATGTTCTAAATTTGGTACAAATCCGTAGCATGTGAATGGATAGGGCTAGAAGCTTGAAATGTGGAATGCGAATTAGGGTTGAGATGTAGAGTCTATTTAAGGAGATGGTTTTGAAAGCGTGTAGTCATGTGTACGAAAAGTACTATATTTGGTACAAATTTAATCTATACTAATTTATGCTAATAAAAGAGTAAAGTGATTTAATGTTTCATCAATGCCCAGACGAAACCGCTGAAGCTAGAATCTTGAAATTTTGGGTAAGGGTCACTCTTGGTCCAAAGGTGACAGATAAGGCTGGGTTTTCGTACTAGAACGGTACGAAAAGTTCTAAATGTGATACCAATTGTATTTGGCGAACGGGTAGAGCTAGAACTCTTAAATTTTAAATGAGGGTCACTGATGGAGTGTAGAATATATATATAGCAAAGGGGTTTTTGGACATTCGAACTATAAGTATGCGAAAAGTACTAAATTTAGTACAATTTCGTAGCATGTGAATGGATTGAGCTAAAAACTTGAAATTTGGAATGCAAATAAGGGTTGAGATGTAGGGTCTATTTAAGGTGATGGTTTTGAAAGCGTGTACACATGTGTGCGAAAAGTACTATAGGGTACTATATTTGGTACAAATTTAATTGGGAGATACAAACCGAGCTGGAATCCTGAAAATTGAAATTAACATTACCGTCGGAGTGTAGGATTGGGATATAAACGTAGTTTTGGAAATTTGTTACTTATGTGTACGAAAAGTACTAAATTTGATACAATTTGAATTTTAGGTAAACCAATAGAGCTAGAATAATGAATTTTTGGAGTCAGGATCAGTGTGGAGGTGTAAGATTGAGATATGTAAAAGTTTTAGAAATTTGTACTTATGTGTACTAAATTTGGTACAATTTGAATTGTGAATGAACCAATAGAGTTGGAATCATGAAACTTGGATTTGGGATCACTGTGGGCGTGTAAGGTGTGGGTATGTAGGAAGTTTCAGAAATTTGTACTAAGTGTACTAAATTCGGTACAATTTAAATTGTGGGTGAGGCTATAGAGTTGGAATCCTGAAATTTTGATTTAGGATTGGGGTATGTTAGGTGTAGGATTGGGGTATGTTAGAAGGTTTGGAAATTGGTACTACTATGTACTAAATTTAGTACAATTTGATTTGTGGGTGAACCGATAGAGTTGGAATTCTAAAACTTTAATTTAGTATCAGTGTGGGGGTGTAGGATTGGGATTTGTAGGATGTTTTGGAAGTTGGTACTACTGTGTACTAAATTTGGTAAAATTTGAATTGTGGGTGAACCAATAGAGTTGGAATCCTGAAACTTGGATTTAGGATCACTGTGGAGGTGTAGGATTGGGGCGTGTAAGAAGTTTTGGAAATTGGTACTACTGTGTACTAAATTTGGTACAATTTGAATTGTGGGTGAACCGATAGAATTGGA